ATTAGATAGAAAAGATCAAAGTGGATGTCAGAAGAGATGCTGAAATTCGCTCTTGAATGTAGAAGAACAGAAAAGCCAGAAGAAGCAATGATGTTAAAGAGCTGAATAGAACACACACAAAAAGAGCTGAATAGAACATTTCAAAAGGCAGCACCAGAAGACAAAGTAAAGTATTATAATGAAGTGGGCAAAGACCTAGAGTTAGGAAGACATACTCAGCATACATCAAGAACTGAAGAAACAATTCAAACCTCAAGTTGCTATGTTGAAGGATTTCATTGGCAAAATCTTCAGTGATGAAGAAAGGACCAAAAGAAGATACAGAGCCACTGTACCCAAAAGAATTGGTTGACAGTCAACCATTTTAAGCAGTAGTATGGGTCAAGAAGTGATGATATTAAAGCAAGATTTCAAGCTGCATTAAAGATGTAACTGAAAAAGCTCTACAAACTGATAAATTGAATTGTTTTAAAATAAAACAAAAAATTTGAATGCAACACTGGAAGCACTCAGTAGTTTTTGCCCCCAAATTTGGAAGACAGGGAGCTGCCAGAAATCCAAGTTAAATTCCAAAGAGGACATAAAATGAGGGATATTATTGCTGATATCAGATGGATCTTGACTGAAAGCAAAGACTACCAAAAAGGGATTGACTTGTGCTTTATTGGCTCTGCAAAAGCATTTGACTGTGTGGATCATAAAAAAAACCATGGATAACATTGTGAAGAATGGGAACTCCAGAATACTTTGTGTTCATGTAGAACCTGTACATAAAAGGGGTGCCCCCCCAAAACCTTTTTTTCAAAGCTATGTATTTAATTTTTTTTAACAAAACAACCTTATCACCTTCAAAGTACTCCCCATTAACTTAATACATTTGTCAAATTTGCAATTCCATTCTTGGAAACATTTTCAAACTCATCTGTGTGGATGGCTGACAGCACCTCCCTTGTTTTTTTTCTTCACCTCTTCTATGTTGTCAAATCACTGTCATTTCATGTCCCTCTGTATTCGTGGAATCAAAAAGAAGTCACACGGAGTGAGGTCAGGTGAGTAAGGTGTATGGGGCAAGAGAGGCATGCTGTTTTTTGCTCAAAACTGGTGATGGCTGTGTGAGCAGGTGCATTGTCATGGTGGCAAAATCGGTCTTTGTCTGCCACAAACCAGGCCTTGTTTGTCACACACTCTTGTGCAATCTTTTGGGAACCTCTAAGTAGAAAGCTTGATTAACAGTCTGACTTAGTGGAACGAACTTCAAATTCACTATGAGTTCACATATTCATCTGTTCAGGAAGTTGACGGAAGTCCAGAACGAGGTTTTTCTTTTCTTTTTTTTTAAGAATGAGGTTTTTTATTAATTGACATTTCACCTTTTTTTAAACAAGAAAACCACTGGTACACTTGAGTTTTTCCCATAGTGCTGTCCTTGTAAGTTGTGTTCAACATCACAACAGTTTTACAGCTGCATGCTGTGCTCTAAAATTGACCATCACAAAAAAATGAGGTTCCAGCGAAACTGATTTTATGAAAAACTTCACTGTGACCAGAGAGAACCTTCCCAGGCAATGCCACTGGGTGCACTAACTCAGTTTCTCGATGCTCACATAGCAGGGAAAATGCGTACTACAAAAACTCCACCCAGTGGAGCTTTTTTCCATTTTTTTTAAGGAGGGTACCCCCTCGTAGACATGGTAGCAGTCGTCCAACAGAACAAGGGGATACCGCGTGGTTTAAAATCAAGAAAGGTGTGCTTCATGGTTTATTCATTTCCCATACTTATTTAATCTGTATACTGAGCAAATAATCAGAAAGGTGGACTTCATAATGAAGAATGTGCCATCAGAATTGAAGGCTCATTAACATCTTGCAACATTCAGGTGACACAACCATACTTGCTGAAAGCAAAGAGGACTTTGATCTGATGAAGATAAATGAATACAACTTTCAGTATGGATTACAATTCAGTATAAAGAAAACCAAATCCTAACAACTGGTAACATCATGGTAAACAGATAAAAGATGAAAGTTGACAAGGATTTCATTTTACTTGGATTCACAGTCAACACTCATAAAAGCAGCAGCTAAGAAATCAAATTACCTATGGCATTAGGTTAATCTGCTTTATAAGATCTCTTTAAAGTGTGCAAGAGCAAAAAAGTCACTTTGAAGACTAAGGTGTCTTTGATCAAAGCCATGGTATTTTCAGTTGCTTCATATGCATGGGAAAGCTGGACAATGAATAAGGAAGGCCGTAGAAGAATTGATCCATTTTAATTATGGTATTGGCAAAGAATACTGAAAGTACCATGGACTACAGGAAAATCAAATCAATCAGCCTTGAAAGAAGTACAGCTAGAATTCTGCATAGAAGCCAGGATGTCAAGACATCTTCTCACCTACTTTTGACATATTGTCAGGAAAGACCAGTTCCTGGAAAAGAACATCATGCTTGGCACAGTCGTAGGTCTGCCAAAAAGAGGAAGACCCTTACAGAGATGGATTGACATAGTAGCTGTAACAATGACCTCCAACATAACAACAACTGAGGATAATACAGGAGCAGAACTAGATCATGCCTGGCTACTGAAAGGATCATAATAAAGGGTCCTTCAAAGGGTGGTATGGAGTGGTAGAAAATGTGTTAAAAACCCTCGAAATCATAAAAAGACCAAGTTAACTGCTCTGATAGTCACTGGTGGAACCCCCAAGACTATGACCCTTAGATGTCCTTCAGGCCTGGAACTGAGCTCACCTCTGTGGCTCAACTTTCAGCCAAACACAGATTCATAAAGGCAACAATAACACCAGGGAGGTAGCACTCCTTTGAACAACCAACGACAGGAGCTCAAAGGGGCAGCAGTACCCAGGGGATAAGACTAAGAAGGAGGGATTTGGGAGGGAGGCTAAAATGAGGAGTTGATACCAAGGGCTCAAGTAGAAAGAAAATGTTTTGAGAATGATGATGGCAACAAACGTATAAATGTGCTTGACACAATGGATATCTGTAGGGATTGTGATAAGAATTGTATGAGCCCCCAGTAAAATGATTTTAAAAGAAAAAAAAATGAAGAAGAAAAACAAAACAAACACAATGGAAAAGACGAATGGAACAATAAATGGAGGAAGCAGGAAAACTGCTATTGTGGGGTTACAATCAAGGTCACAAATCAAAATGTGCATGAATTATTGAATGGACAGCCAATATGCTCTATGACATTTCATCCAAATCACAATGAAAAGTTAACAAAAAGAATAACCTTTAGATATCAATAAAACTATTTTTTATTATAAATCATTTTATTGGGGGCTCATACAACTCTTATCACAATCCATACATCCATCCATTGTGTTAAGCACATTTGTACATATGTTGCCATCAACATTTTCAAAGCATTTTCTTTCTACTTGAGCCCTTGGTATCAGCTCCTCGTTTTTCCCCCTCCCTCCCTCCTTCCCTCATGAACCCTTGATAATTTATAAATTATTGTTTTGTCATGTCTTACATTGTCCAATGTCTCCCTTTATCCCCTTGTCTGTTGTCCATCCCCCTGGGAGGGGGTTATAGGTAAGTCTTTGTGATCGGTTCCCTCTTTCTCCCTCCACCTTCCCCTTCCCCTTCTGGTATGGCTACCAGGAGTTGGTCCCGAGGAGTTTATCTGTCCTGTATTCCTTGTGTTTCCAGCTCTTATCTGTACCGATGTACAAGTTCTTGTTTAGCCAGATTTGTAAGGTAGAATTAGGGTCATGATAGTGGGGGAGGGGGGGAAGCATTAAAGAACCAGAAGAAAGCAATATGAATAAAACTATTTTTTTAAGCAGCATGAGACAAAAAAACAAATACCCTTTGGAGTGGAGGGAAGAGGCAGCAGTAGAGAGGAAGCCAGAGGTGAGCTCCTTTTTTCCTACCTCATGACAATGATAGCGGTGCATTTACTTTAGATTAAGTCAGTGAGCTGGATAATTATGGTTTGTGAATTTTTATATATCAAATATACTTCATAAAATAATATATTAAAGATAGTTTTAAAGTCCTCAATATACATTATTAAATATACTTTACATATAAAATACATGTAAGATGTAACAATTATGCATAAAATCTGAACCAGAAAAAAGAAAGGCCTGGCAAAAATCAGCCAATAAAAAGCCTATGGATATTGGAATAACCATAATGGAAATCATGAGTATGCTCATGTACTGTGAAGCATGTAACCAATGTCACTGAGCAACTTGTGCAGGCATCGTTGACTGGGCTAGGTGGACATAACTGTAATGTAAAGCTTCACCCAAAACACAATAAAATATTACATTTAAAAACCCAACTTATGAATTACAATGATCCTATCCCTTGCAAATGGTACAGTATTTCCTTCCTTTACACATGGGGACTCCATGAGTCATGAGGGCTGACCTAATGGCATCTAATAACAACATACTTAATATTTTATTTATTCTATCATCTACTAGAATGGCAGCAAACATAGATTTGCTTATCTAGTTTTGTTTAACACTGTCTCCCCAAACCTTAGGAACAAAGCCTGGTATACTGGGATGCTTAATATAGTCTTGTTAATGGAACGAATGAATGCTGGCACTGTGACAGTATGAACAGAAACAGAAAGAACTTGGCCCTGTCCCACTTACTTTCTTGAGCGCTGAGTCTCAAGTGAGGCAAGGCTGGACCTAACAGATGGAATGAGACCAGAGAAAGCTCTCTAGGAGGAGGTAATAAATATCATTTGGGCTGCTCCTTGAGGGAAATGTAAATTAGAGAGATATTGGGGTTCCGTGAGGTTTGTCAGGTGGCAGAAACACACCTGAAAAAGTAGGACAAGTTTGGAAAGGATGGCAAAATGTGGGTTCACTGACTTGAAGAAGTCAGGGGCTTTGAATTCCAAGGGGATGACCCTGGATTTGGCCCTCAGAACTATCACACCCTTATTACTTACCCCAAACATCTCAGAGACCTTGTAACCTTGAACAAAGACTCATAGCCCAGAAACCATAATAAGAGCTCATTTATTGAGAAGTTATTAATTTATTGTGGAACATATGGGAGATATTCAGAAGATTTGGCTTCAAACCTATCTCAGGACCCCTCCAGCAGGTGTGAAGTATTTAAATTCTCAATCTCTGGTGGTCTCTCAGGGTGGGAAAGGGCTTGTGGGGAAGAAGGGAGAAGTTGGAACATGGGGAACAGAATGGAGTGGAGTCAGTCTCCATCATGAGGAGCTATAGTTGGACACCTCAATCAGGTTTCTGTCAGGGTCTCGGAAATAGATGGACATAATGGGCCCTTTTGCCCCTGTTCTGGGCACTGGGCCTTCCTCGATGGGGACATCACAAGCCTGAAACGAGAGGGGAAAACAAAAGTCATCCATCAGTTCCTGTGTGAAACCAAAAATTTTTTTTAAATCCATTTATTGGGGCTCATAAAATTCATCACAATACATAGATCAATT